CAGCTATTCTAAGTCTATGAATAAAATATGGAGCTGGAAATGACCATAATAGGTGCTTGTCACGTGAATGCATTATTATCGCTTTGTCTTTCAGACCTACCAAAGCCAGGATGCAGAAGGTCACGAATATCGGCATCAGCCTCAGCTTCTTGCTGTACTTTATTTCTGCGCTGTTTGGCTACCTCACCTTCTACGGTAAGTCATCTGGGACACTTTCATTCAAAGGAAAGCATTGTCCCATCTCGGTTTTCATCTTCTAACTTTTAGCTCACGTGGAATCCGAGCTGCTCCTCAGTTATGATGCATACTTGCCCCGGGACATCATGGTGATAGCGGTTCGACTGGCCATCCTCCTGTCTGTGCTGCTGACTGTGCCACTTATACACTTCCCTGTGAGTAGACCTGCTTCATAATGATGATGATGATGATAATAATAATAATAACGATGCTTTTTCCACACAGGTTTGTTTAGTGCTTCTTCTTTTTTCTTTTTTTACTCAAACTGTGAAACTGAAGAACTGAACTGAAAATGCTTGAAGGCTTTGTTGATCATTTTTATGTTGTTATTGTGATCAAGATGGTTTTATTTTTCAGTTCCACCTTTTTACTCTTTCACTTTATCAATTTAAATTTATTGTCGCCTAGAAAATTCATCTGGCTCTGTTACTGTGTTACAGCTGCCAGAAAAGCAGATTACTTCACTTTCCTTCTTTCTGCTTTAAGACATTTAGTTGCAATAACACTCGAGTGCTTTCAGCTTGAATGAGTACTGTCTGTGTCTGTGTGCTTGCTGCAGGCCCGTAAAGCTGCAATTTTGATGCTTTTCGGGGGGCGTGCCTTTTCTTGGCTGATCCACATCGCTGCAACTCTAACCATCCTGTGTGTGGTGCTGATACTCGCCATCTTTGTGCCTGATATCAGAAATGTGTTTGGAGTAGTAGGTATGTGGTACTTTGAAAATACTTTTAACATATGGGAGTGGGGTGTGTGTGTGTGTGTGTGTGTATATCAATAGATATTATATTGTTCATAAATTATAGATATATTTTTATTTCCTTACCTGTAACCTTTTAAATATGAACAGGCATTATAAGCTGCCAATATCCCAGTAGCCCAGAGTTATTGATTGTACTGGCTAGAACTGCAGTATCTGCTTATACATAATTAATGGCTGGAGTCCTGCTCAAACAGTTTATAAATCTCCTATCGTGAGCCTTTCCTGTTTGTTCCTCAGGATCAACAACATCCAGCTGCCTCTTATTTGTCTTTCCGGGCATCTTCTACCTCAAAATCAGCAGGCAGCCCCTCAGGTCCTTCGACTCTGTTGGGGTAAATGAGCTCTTCCGTAAATAGATCTGGCGATGAAGTTGCATACATTATATTTTGAGGTAATCTGGTAATTATTTCGAATTTTTTTTCTTTTCTTTCTCCTCTCTCAGGCTGCACTACTCGTGGTCTTTGGCGTGATTATGGGAGTCATCAGTTTCTGTGTTATCGTCATCACATGGGCAAAGAGCTCCTAGCCCCCTTCTGGTCTCCTCCCCCAGACCAACAACAAAACCAAAGAAAATGAAGCGCGCACCAAACAAACTGAAAGTTGAATAAATAAAGGGAACAGCATCGCCCCCAGGCATTTATTTATGATAAAATTATTCGACATTTGTTTTTTGTTTTTTCACGTTCTTTCCAATCTCAGCTCAATGTTTACATCTCCTGTACCGCACTGACCTTTGTACTGTACCAAATTCAGGGCAAGTCTTGTCTTTTTTTTTTTCAAATCTGATGTGTGGGTTTGTGATACAAAGCTGTAAATTTACTTTAATGTGCTTGTTTTTTCATTTCTACTTGTTCTGTGTTTGCGATTTTTGCACTTTATGTAAATTATTGACCACCCGATGAAGACTACATCGAAGTTTACTGCTTTCCTAAATTTTGTATGTGACACTATATGTATTTGTAAACACAGTGGGTTTTATGAATCACATTTATTTTTTTGGGCATTTGTTTTGAGTGTCTTTGAGCTTTGAGCACTCTAAAATCAGGTAAAACTATTTCTGCACCATCGTCTACTGCAGTGAATGTGATAAAACCGGTGATCAGTTTGTTGGTTCATTATAGCGCACGCCATGTGGGCCTAATTTAAAATGATGTGTTAGATTGTATCAAATTGCCAGCACTTGATAAAAGAGACATTGTTTATGTAATGACATGTCAGTTTTGCTCTATTTAACCACTAAAATGTCTTTATCGGTTTTCTAGAAAGCTCATCAGTCAAAACATGTCTGCTTGTTTGATTGGCAGGCACACTGCTGACGCTGAGGCCCCGCTCCTCAGTTGTACTGTGGTTTTCAGCCTGTAGCTAATGAAAGCCACATGCTCTGTACGTTTCTAATCATGATGCTGTTTAGATTGTCTTCATGCTGCCTCTGGAACCTACGGCCACCCGACTGCTGCTTTTAATCTGAGGAATTAGGCAGGCTGGCCCCCGCCATCCCTGCGAGAAAGCAGCGGCTGCAGGATTTTCACGCCACCCTTTTTTCCTTTTTTTTAAAACAAGGTTCGGTAATGCAGGGAATATCCCCGTGCTTCAATCCACCCCTCTTAAGGACACTCCCAGAAATAAAGGGCACCACAGCTGAACATATATATTTGGTTGTCATGAGGGGTAGAAGCAATGAAGTATGACAGCAGAAAAAAATACTGAAGTACATTTATTCCAAATAATTGTAATAATTTTGGGCTTGAAGGAATAATTTAAAGAAATGCCAGTGAGAAAGTCCCCAGATAAAGGAGCTATAAATGAAGTGGGAAAACAACAGTGTTTCTGACAAATAGGAACAGAAATTAAGAATCCTGACCTTCTGCACGGGATCATTTACAAACCTCTATGCTGAACACAAAAGCAGAGCAAGATTGCCACCTGGTGTCAGACTGTGTCCACAGCAGTCCAGGTCGGCACCATTTCACAGAAACTCAGGCGTCCTATGTTTTATCAAAACCTAACTAGGTGAAGATAACCACATGCTCAGATATTTTTCCAGGTTTATAATGAGTTGGAAAAATGCATGTTGACTCAAACCAGAGCTGGGTTTTTTTGTTTTTTTTTAAATGGAGATCTGACTGGGTCCCGAGTCCTCGGGCCCAGAGGTGGGAGTGTTTTTGTTTAGTTAAACTCACTCACACCCTGGGCCCATGTCCAGCAGTATGACAGCACCATCTCCCAGGGTTAAAGGATGGAATGAGCCAGCAGAGGAGCGATGGTGGGCCGGAATTAAGCTCTTGCTGGCAGCCGCCACTTTTGTATTGTTTCAAGAGGCGTCGGCTGTGTTCTTTGAAAATCATTTTCTGTTGTTGGAAATCAGGAGAAGGGTGAACCTGGTGTCCTCACTTTGACCTTCAGCCTACTTTGCCCATCCTGTGTGTGAAAACAGGCTGGGAACCACTGGATTAGATATGCAGAAAGTATTATCTACGTTTCTACAGGTGGCTGGAGACTGTTATCAGTGTGTCTTCTCTCTCCCTCCCCTCACCCCACCCAGTCACGGCAGACGGCTGCCCCTCCTGAACCTGTTTCCGCCTTTATTTCCTGTTAGGAAGGAGTTTTTCCTTCCCGCTGTTGCCAAGTGCTCGGTCACAGGGAGTCGTCTCATTGTTGGAGTTTTCCCTGCGTTATTGTAGGGTCTTTACCTTACAACACAAAGCAACTTGAGGTGACTGTTGTTGTGATTTGGTGTCTTTATAAATTAAATTGAATTGAATTTTCTGTTGTGGTGGACATCAGAAACTGAAAATCTCAGTGCGGACAACATCTGCTTTCTGTTTGCCTGCATAATCTTGTTCAACAGGCATTCCTGGCTGAAAGGTGCTTCACATGAGCTTTTTAAATGCCGGTTGGCATGATGAGTGGCTGTCCTTGTTAGTCACGGTGGGGACTGCAACTCAGAAGAGACGCCATCAATACGCAAGTGTCATCACTGATGAAGTGCTCTCCATTTATTTATTTTTTTCCTCTTTCCTCCCATTCTCTCTGTTCCCTCCATCTACATTCACTCCATGCCGCTTTTCTGCTTTTAATCAATTTCCATGCTCTATCAGTAAACATGTTCTTTGTGTCACAGTAAGAGCATTCCTCACTCTGAGCACTCTTTCTGAAAGAGCACATGCTTTGGTCATAGGAGAATGTGACCCATTTATACTCCTTATTTCTTTATGATTTTTTAAATATCATATTGCTTAAATAAGGCCTCAAAGCAGGAGAAAAACACGATTAGAGATCTTTATATGTGACATGGTGCAGTTTGACAACATCATCTGCTCCTGCTTTTCAGCTAGCGTGCTTCAGACAAGCCCGTGCTGCACTTGTAGATGAGCGATGTCCTTCAGCCCTTTCACCATGGGAGTCCCCAAAGCTGTGTATTAACTGAAAACCATTGTGTGCAGCAAACTCGTCACTTTCTCGAATAAAGGGGAAGAACTGACTGACACACGCATCACCTGCCAGTTCACAATAAGGGCCGAACACAATGACTAAAAAATAAACTTGACTCCAAGATTGCAGTCCCTATATAGTCCTCGAGACACAATACACCTCTGTAGCAGAGCCGTATGTTTTCAGGACTGGAATCAAGGTCAAGAGTGAAAGAGGAGGTTTTATAAATAAACAAGGGAAGTTTTACAAGGAAAAGCTTTGTAGTGGTTTGTCAATTTGGCATGTAACGACCAGAGGTTGAGGAGTAAGGAAGAGCGCCGATGGAGGCCCAGTGGTCAGCAGCGCAGTGTGGGATTCTGTTTTTTTTGGTTGGGAGCAGGGGTTAGTTTGTGTCCCTGCAATCCCATCAGCCCTGCGCTGAGCCTTTAATGCAGCCCTGACGCCTTTCTGGCGCAGGGGCCACGCTGCCTCACATCTGGAGCCAATTACCCTGGAGGGGCTGTGACAGGGCCCCCACCATCCTCTACTCTCTGCTCCTCTGTCCAAAGCAGCTCAGACCACTCTCAGTTGCATTCTTCTTTTCACAACATCATGCTTTATTTGTCAGTCCTTTTCCTCTTTCTTTTTTTAAAATTTGAAAACCATAACCTCCTCTACACCAAATCCCCCCCCCCCTCTAATAAGCTGATAAAGAAGAATAACAGGGTATGTTTGTGGCCGAAGGGCTTAAGAGAACAGAGAGCACTACGTAATGCCAGAGTCTCTTGTGCGTGTGCGTGTGTGTGTGTGTGTGTGTTTGTGTGTGTGTGTGTGTGTGTGTGTGTGTGTGTGTGTGTGTGTGTGTGTGTGTGTGTGCACAGCCTTACCTGAGGAGAAGCTGGGGTCTTGTGACTGGACTGTAGCACGGGGGTTAGTCCTGCTGCTTGGACCCGATGACTGATGAGGGTAATTGAGTTTGTGGTAGTGCAGCAAGCGTGTTAGGGGTGTAGACTGGCCCCGTAGGATTTCTCTCACCGAGGTCACAAGCGCTGGGAATGGGCTTCACCATATCTGGACCATACTCTTGTTAGTTCCCGCCCCACAGTTTGGCACCAATGCTATGGTTCATTAGCTGCAGCTATAGGGTGTACCTGGGCAGAGAGCCAGGGGATTGAGCTGTCCTGGGTTACACAGACATAAATTGAGAGTGTAGACTGTGAAGCAAATGTGGAAACTCTACAGGTGGCTGAAATTAAGCCATATACACAGAATCAGCCTGCTCTGAAAAAAGGAGGGGGGAGGCTTTTGGTAGCTGGCTTTGTGCTCGAGGCAATAAAATCTTGGCATTTTAAGGAGATACCTCAGAAGTGTGTGTTCATGCCTTTGTGTGTGTAAAGCATGCACATGTCTAATGTATATGTACACATGAAGCTCACAAGTCTGTGTGTTCTCAGTCTCTGGAGTCATGGAGAGCTGCAGACGTCTCCCATGGGTGCATAAATTCACGATTTGGCCGTGACAGTCTCTTCCAGAGAGAGAGAGAATGTTAGGCTGGAATGAGGGGGAAGCCATGCAGGGCAAAGAGCCACTGAGTTGGCAGACAGAAGGAGAAAAAGAGGGGGAACTGCTCGTAGAACAAAGAAAGAAAACAAATCATCCTGAGCTGTAAAAGTGCCATCTCTCGTTCTGGGGTAAAATATGAGCGAGTGGAAGAAAAATAGATTTTTAAAGTTTATCATAAGAGGGATGTGAGCAGAAAGGAAGAGGGAGGGGTGGAAGGTGAGGGCGGATCAATGGATTAAGCAGTCTTACTCTGCCCTCTGCTGGACAGTTCAACAAAACAACATTGAGGCTTTGCTGAAAGCAGGAACACTCTTATGACCTTCCTCAACACTGTGCATAGAAATAGAACTAAAATACCCTGACTCTAACATGTATTTAAAAAAAAAAAAGCAATGGTGAGAATACCTGAACATTTGCTCCTGCTGGTCGGGGTGATCTGCAACAAAAATTTAAAGGGGCAAAATGTTTTATTTTCAACCACCAGCTTTGAGAGTCCTGCCGCTGATTGCTGTAAGTGCACTGACACTTTTTGCACTGAATCAATCTGCTATCGGCCCGCTTTGGCATTACGACCTTCTCTTCTCAGTAAGGTCATGTCTGAGAGGCCGTTTACAAGACATCCTGGATTCAGGGGATGTGCAAGTTCTGGGACCCCAGCCCTTTATTTATAACAGCTGGACCAGAGAGATGTGGAGTCCTGACATTTGGCAGAGTGGGGTGAGAGGTCAAGTCTAACACCAATAAAGTGAAGACTTTGATCGTGGCATTTATGGATAGAGGAGGTACAGCACCCTCAGAGTGGGAGAGAGTGGTGTTTAAAGAATAAAGAAAAAGAGCACTCCTGCAGTTAGGTGAACCAGCCAGTCAAGAAAGAAAAAAGAAAAAGAAATTAAGTAGCTGAACTTTTACTTTCATTTCAGGATTTATTTTACAGCCCATTCCCTCCTGCTGGTTCACTGAGCCCAGTCAGAGGATGTCAACAAGCACAGATGTGCATGTAATAATAATTTGAATTACTGCTTTTTTGTGTGTGCTGTAAATATTGAGGAAAGTGCAGCTTTAATTCAAGAGGTTTAACAAAAATATTGCATTCCCTGTTCAGGAAATGCAGCCTTTTTATATACAGACTTTATAATTTTCAGGCACAAGTGCTATTTAAGTGCTTGCTTGACTGACAAGCACTTTCATGGCCAAGTGGAATCTGTTCTCTCATTATTCCATGACAAATTAAGCAGATAAAAATCTGTAGTTGTTAAGTGTTAACACAGATAGACAAATACATGTTTAGCACAGCAAGTGCTCTCAACATGAGGTCCAAAGATATAGGTAAAGGTGGCCATCATTAGTCTGAAACACCGGAATAAAACTATCAGAAAGATAGTAAAAGCTTTAGGAGCGGCCAAATCAACAGTCTGGTGCATTCTTATAAAGAATAAATGCTCCTATACGGCTCAGCATCTACCTGAGTAAAGAACCTTCAACCTGATTGAAATGTTGTGCCAGGACCATGAGAGCTGTGCATGAACAAATACCCACAAACCACAAACCTCAGTGATCTGAAGCATTGCTCCACAGAGTCTCTTTCTTGATGTATAGATATATATTCAATGACAAGACCGTAACAGAGTAGCCAAGAGCACAATGAATAGCAACAAACACCACATCAAATGCATAAATCTAAGTTAAGATGTTGTGTATTTTCAAGAAATACCTGTCGCCCATGGAGCGCACTACCACCTGAAGCAAAATATATGTTGGACTAAATATGTGTAGTGTGTATATTGGGCTTTGCAGTATATGTAGAGGCTCTTAGTCTGAAATGAACGCCCCCTTTTCATACAATAACCACACTACATCTATGTGTTGTTTGCAGGGGTGGGGTGTGGGCTCAGCAAAAAGGTTTCCGTAATGCTTGTGTGGTTTTGCAGATTTCTTTACTGACTTTCATTACTTAGGTCTAAACGCACAGTTACACAGTGTAGATGTTCACAACATAAATTACAGTATGACAACTCTAGACTCTTTGTCTCTTTTATTCTGCCTTCCTTTCAAAGTCTTGTTTGATCTTTTGAGAGATGACTGAATTAATTTATTTAATAAAAATAAAATATATTGTGAATCATGCTAGGGTTATGTGATATGGGAAAGAAGTCATGTTTTAATAGTGTCAGGAGTTTTTATTTTTAGTTATGGAAAATTCTCTGTCAGACTTTTTTTTGTGTAGGCAGTGTCTGTCTGTTACGTTGGCTTAAATGGTTACAAATAAGTAATATCAGACTGTTGTTTTGTATTCTAAAAATCCTTCAGAAATGCCAGACATTTATTTGTTCCAGCTTATCAGGTTGATAATTCAGGGCTTGGTTCTTTTTCTTTTTGTTTTTTTTTGCTTGTTGGTTGTCTGTCTTACTTTTGTTCTGCTGGTTGGGCAAAACTAATATATCATAGATGCCATCTTGCAGTTCATGGAAACAACGATGGCAATTTTTTACGTCATTTGTGAGACAGTTCATCAGTTGATTGAAAGATAAGAGGATTGACAATAATTCATCCTAAAAATAAAAAAGTTTTTTTTACAGTCCCTGGGAGTAGTCCTAGAACTGTGAGAGATAACAGTGTCTGCATTTAACTGCTAATCATTCCACCTTTTTCTTGCTTGTCCATACACTGTAGTGGGTGTGTAGAGGACATTTTTATGTGAGAGTGGCTCCCTGAAATATCCCGATGAAGGCTGTCAAAATGAACCAAAGAAGTAACCCAGACACCCCCTCGCTAAAATCACGCAGCCACACAGACTGTAATGCAGCACCATCACATGTAACTGTCAGATACAGTTAAATAGTACGTCATCAAACTTCAAATCTAAAAGAACCAGAAAAATCACAAACTGTTGAATTAATGCAAAACAGTGATGTTGAGCTGAAATATCCTCAGAGTTGAGCAGAAACACAGATTTTAATAATTCATATTTCACATTCAAGTATAAATAAAGACTTTATATCCACTTTAAAGAAATCCCATAATGTGATAAATCCATTCTAAGAGTTCACGCACTTCTTCTGTGCTTTTTATGTTACAAACTTATGTTCTTGTCTTGTTGCCAGATGAGGCCGTAGTGAAGAATTTCAAGCAGTTTACAAGGAAGCGGCAGGGAGCCGTGAGGCGAAGGATACACCAGGTTAATGGGCACAAGTTTATGTCCACTTTCCTCCGTCAGCCCACCTTCTGTTTTCACTGCAAAGAGTTCATCTGGTGAGAAAGTCACGCATGGGTGATTCAGTGCTGGCAGCGCATCTCTGTGTAGAATGTAAACTGGATCTAAATCTGTTCTCTTTTATGTTAATAGGGGTGTTTTTGGAAAGCAGGGTTACCAGTGTCAAGGTAAGCAGAACTTATTTTTCTCTTTCTGCCTTTTACCACAGTTGCCTAAACACACCTGTGTTTGTTATGAGTCCGCCATTGACTCGTTGTCTTGTCTTTTTTTTTGTTTTTCAGTGTGTACCTGTGTGGTGCACAAACGATGCCACCAGCAGGTCGTCACTGTCTGTCCACGCATGAAGAAAACAGCAAAAGAACAGGTAACGACACATTAATACACTCTAATCAGCATGTTTACTTCTAAATAGTTGTTCTCTTTACAGATTTTTATTTTTTTTTTGTTTAAATACAGAATGTCAAAAAAAAGCACCCTCCCCCTCCTACACACACATTCACACACGCATCTGATTAACACCTGCAGTGATCAGTAGGCTGTTTCCTGTTTCTATATTCTGTCTAGACTGGTCACTGAGGCAGAACACTGTACTGCACTATTATTTTCCACATATGAACACTATAAATTTTTATGCTTCTATAAATACATCCATGACAGTTTTAGCAGTTTGAACGCAACTATGTAGCTTAGTTTTGTTATATTTTGCTGAATATTACAAGTTTCTCTTCCCTAAAATCTGACAGGATAATAAAAATTTATACGCTAAGCATGTTTATTTTTAATACACCATTTACAAATTTTGTAAATATAGTATAATCATCATTATATAATTCCTTTAGACTTATTGTCTCTTTTATGCTATGTTCCTTTAAAAGTCTTATTTGATCATAAGTGACAGAGAGTAATTGATTGAGTTTTTTGTTTGTTTGTTTTTTAAGAAATTAAACGTAAGTATGAGGCATATTGTCAAAACAGATGAAATTCTTTTCATGGAAGGTGCTTGCACATTTTCTTCTTTGGAGCTCCACAGGGTAGCTGTCTGGGTCCATTACTTTTTTTCTTTACATGCATGGAAACATTATTAGACAGGATAAATTTTTGTTACTGTAGTTACACAGATGCTAGACAGTGTATTTCTGTGGAGCCAGGTGACAGTGTACTGAACTCATTCACCAATGTGAGTGGCTGACTTTAACAAATGGATGAATGCAATTAAAAAAAAAAAAAATTAAAGATAAAAATTTTGCTTAGTCCTAAAATAAAATGTGATCTGCTCATTTGCAAATTAGGAGCTGACAGAATAAAACCAAAAGTTAAGTCTTATGATCATTACTGTGATGCAAGCTTTAAACTTCTTCCATTTCAGGAAGATGTGTCTGACAGTACCAGACTCACCATGATTCTAAAAAACTTCTTCATGCATTCATTTCCTGCGGACGAGTTTGAATTTTGAATGTATTTATTCAAAAGGGACAGTGCAGATTAATCAACTTATCACGCAAATGTGCAAGAATGAACCTTAAACAGTTTTCTAGCTCTAGTCCCTGACAGGGCAGACAAAAGATAAATAACAAAGAAAATTAAAACACCATCAGACAGCGTACAACAATATAGTCCAGACAACAAATACATGAAATCCACAGTACAATAAGAAAACACAGAACAACAAATAAATATAAACACATACGGCATTAAAGATAACACACATTAGTATAAAATGAATGGTCACAGGTCTGGTTCCTTTTTAGCCATCATTTGAGATGAGTTTTAAATGTATTCTCTTATTACAGCTGGAATAATTTTCCAAATCCCACTACCTTTAAGTGATAACAGCTTTTTTACTAAATATCATATGTCTAAGAGGTATTGCACAGTCGCATTGGGTAGAGGCTCTGCTTACTCGGCCACTAATGTTTGATTTTAATACTTATGAACTCACACGAGTAGGGTGGAGCAGGTTCATGCAGGATCTTAATAAACTGAACAAGCAAACTAGGTTGTTTTTTTTGTTTTGTCTTTTGCTGCAATGCTCTTTTTGTTGGACTTCCCAAAAAGATTGCGAGAAGGCTGCAGCTTACTTGAAACTTGACTGTGAAGTTATTAATTAAAACAAATAACAGAACACATCATTACAGTTTCTTAGCAGACTTACAATGACTTCCATTATCTCACAGACCTGATTTTAAAATAAAACTTCTTTCCCCTTTATAGGGCACTCATTAAAATACGTAGAAATTCAAAATTTCAACCCTCGAGTGTTATTGGAGCGTATTACAGGCCTTTTTTACTTGTAGGATGTTTTTATGTTGCAGATCAATGTCAGTGAAGTTAACATAGTAACATACCAGTTCCTCATACATTTAAAGGAACATTAGTGTATGAACATTTTTATTGATGCACATTGGCAGTTTCCATAAATGTAACAAGCATAGCAAAGTACAGCCCTGAGTAGACACAAGCAACTTGCTTCCCAGTACCTGCAATAAGATCATGTGACTAAACATTTAAACTTTTCTACAAAGATAAAATTGAATTCTCTGAACTGAGCATGTGTGCACATCCTACTACAGGTGCTGTCCTAGAGCATGGCACTTATATAAAAGAGGCAAGTAGACAGCTCCACAAACATGAGTACATCTTTGAGACAATGTCCTGACATTTTCCATGTTTGTAGGAAAACCGAAACAGTAAAAACAATATATTGACATAGAAATTGTAACTGCATAACAAAAAGTAACAATTGCAATTATAACTACTCATTTTTATTACAATTAATTTAATCAAACTTAAATAAATCACAAATATTGAATTACTAAATAAATTTTAGCATTAATAACTCTTCCAATAAAAATAACCACTTATATTTGCAATTCAAGTATAAATTAAAAAAACTGCTATGTCATAAGATGATCAAATATTTTACAATGTCTAGTCTTAAAAGTCTATAAACAGGTTCAATTTCTTACTATAGCTCTGTATAATAATATATACGAAATTGTGGAAAGATCCAAAAGAGCATTTAGTATTGCTGCTCTACGTTTAAAATAGAGTGTGGGGTTTTGTTTTGTTTTCTTAAAAAAACAAAAAAACAAATATGGCTCACTAGATCCACCTGGTACATGTCTGAAAATTGCCTGACACTTGCACTAGTTTTAAGTAAATTCCACTAATTTCTAGAAATCCAGCACATTGAGTTTCTAGAAAACAACACCCATCCCAACATTTAGAAGAGCTATTGAGTAGGGAAAGTTTGGGAAGAACCTACCTCAAAAAAATAGGGAAGAAAACTCTACAGATGATTTGAAGAAACACAAAAAAATACATCTCTTTTAATCTAGCACTAAACTAGTGCTATAATTCGACTGTAGAGCCTCACGTAATCTGGTAGATACAGAAGATAGGCATCATTATTCATCAACATATTGGTCTTCTGGTTCTATTACTTCCAAGATTGTTTGTTTCACAGGATTTTATTTATGATTTAATTTTCCTTTTGTTATTTGTATGTCTGTGTTTGTGGTTTTATATATGTGTGTAAATATGTATTCTGATGGGTTGCTTGTTTGTTTAAATGTTTTAATATGTAAGTGACTTTATTTCTCATATGTTTTTATACCTGCGAAGCCGTTTGAACTTCTACATGTGATGTTGGCCTGTGCAAATAAAACTGAGTTGAACTGAAAATGCATTGTGGACGATGGTGTTGCAAAGCAGTTTTACATCTCGTAATTACCGTGTGCTCTCTTTCTGCAGCCTATAAATCAAGGTTTCAGCATCAACATCCCTCACAAGTTCAACATGCATAACTACAAGTCGCCCACCTTCTGTGACCACTGTGGCTCGCTGCTGTGGGGGATTGTCAGACAGGGGCTGCACTGTAAAAGTAAGACTCGCATCAGCATTCATGTCTCAATATCTGCATCCAAAAGTTGTCTTTCATATAGAGTCACCGTTTCTGTGATTTCTCTCTTCAGTCTGCAAAATGAACGTCCACATCCGTTGCAAATGCAACGTTGCTCCCAACTGTGGGGTCAACAGTGTGGAACTGGCCAATAAGCTCGCTGAGATGGGTCTGCAGGCAGAAGGACTTGCCAAACGGAAATCAGTGGTACAAACGTCTGAGTTTTCCAGAATAACGGAACAGTTCTAAATCCTAATCACAAACGTGAGTGTAATCAGAAAAGTGTGTTTTTCTCTTTGCATTGACAGGTGAAAAACGCAGAACAGACGAGGACTCCATCTGAGGGGAGGGATTGTACGGAAACTCAGCAGCAGTTGCCACGGCTAGGAATTTCAGACTTCACGTTCCTTCAAGTGCTGGGCAAGGGCAGCTTTGGCAAGGTAGGAATGAGATAATAAGATTATAGGAAGTGCTCTGTGCACTTAGTGTAATGATGAGCATTGGCTCATACTGGACAAAAATGGATTAGAGCAGCTTAATCCTAACGTTTGACTAATAAAACATTTACATGACCACAAAAATATACAACTGGCATTAAAAAACACTGAATTTTGATCTCCATATATTGAAAAGTGAGCGAACCCTTTCACCAGTGGCTAAAGAGATTCAAAAAAATGCTTGAAGAGTGTGTGTTGTTGAAATGCCTCCCCCACATTAACAACTGAGGCCTCAAAACGGTCACTTAAAGAGGTTAAAAGCTTCAATTATGAGTCCAAAATTTGCAAATAGAGATGGTTTAAAGAGCCAACTGCAACATGGTGGTTTGTGGTTAGCATTGTTTCCTCATCAAAAGCCACACAGAAGGCCAAAACCCTTCTGGGTCGGTTTTAGCATGCTTGTGCTGGCTTCTTCCTCCAGTTTATCTCGTCATTGCAAATGTCTCGTTACTGTTCCTCTGACCGATGCACAGACTTACTCCGGGCAATGCACGATTGCGGCCCACTGCTCATAATATCAAGGATGGTAAAGTAGATAAAAAGCAGAGAATTAATGTCCCTGCAGGAATTAATAAAGGGAATCTATTAACCCTGACACAAGAAGAACCTCACTGTGTCCCTTAAGCTTGGACAGTCCATGATGCCAGTGGGAAAATGTTTTTGGCTGATTTGTTTTTGAAGATCAATGTAGCACAAGTACCATAATCTTTGGAGTTTTTATGTGAATTTAAGATATCTCACAAGATAATATCAGAATGGCTGCTCTGCAGATTACTGCAAAACCTGTTGTAAAGCCTAAACAGAAATACTGTGGAAGGAAGTCCTGTTCGTTTAGGCATCATTACAATGCGACTTTCTAAACAGCGCATCGGTCCAATTGATAATAATGGAAACTGCTGCCAAAAAAGACACTTTTAGCAAATACTAAATTTAAGTTTACTTGCCAGCACTCTAAATGATTAGCAGGTGTTTCCAGGAAGGACCCTAAATCCTGTCGCTGTCAAGTTTAGCACATTTTATTAGCAGTTAAGCAAATCATTCACTTTCTCACGTGGCTTTTCCTGTTACTATGTTTGTGTTACTCTCCAGGTGATGCTGGCGAGACTAAATGGCAGAGATCGGGTTTTCGCGGTCAAGGTGTTGAAGAAGGACATCATTTTGCAGGATGATGACGTCGAGTGCACCATGACAGAGAAGAGGGTGCTGTCACTGGCCCGCTGTCACCCGTACCTCACACAGCTGTACTGCTGCTTCCAGACACCGGTCAGTGAAAGCATGGCCGCACACTTCTTTCACACAAACTCATTTGTGACTTTTAGCCCTCTTCACTCATGAGAAGCTTTCACCCCGCCTTAAATGGCTGAAGATTGTGATGATGATGACATTTCTGCTGAAAAATAGAAGGGGATGTTTTGGCTCATGATGTCTGTGTCATGCACAGATCTTCCTTATGAGTGCTTTAGAAATGTCGTGGCCTCATATAATAATAATAATAATAATAATAATAATAATACATTTTATTTAAATAGCGCCTTTCAAAGCACCCAAGGACACTGTACAACAGATAAAAACTGGAAATATACACAATGATAAAAATAGAAGATAAGAGATAAAACATACAGAAATTTAAGAAATGACCTTATTTTCGTTTTTACTGCTTTGCTTGCCAGTAAATGATCCACAGAACTGGTTCAAGTAAGGGTCACGGCACTCAGGCATACCCTACTTTTGGTTTCTGGTGCTAAATGTAAATAGAAAAATATGGGTCTGTTTCCATAGATGCCAGTGCATCATGTGGTCAGAAGGTGGCAGCAGTTCCCCAATCTTATGTCTGTTCACTCCTGGCACAAGCCAGTGAATGATGCTTGACTGACAGAGCTGTTTTTCTGGCTCAGACGGGATATTTCTAATCTGCTTTGGTTGGTTGAACCACGACTGATTGAGATCGAAGTGAGCTTGCTGCGCAAACAGTTTCAAACCCAGACAAAACAATGCAACAGCTATTGTTCCACGAGAACGCCTTGTTTTATTTAAATGCCTGTCACTTGTTTCCTGACAAAATACTTAAAAGCACCTTTTATTATACCAGAAGTGTAAAATCGTTCTATATTTTGGTAATAGAGTCATTCAGTTCACACTAATACCACAAAATCACGTTGCAAGGGACAATTAGCGGCACTTTCTGCATGGCATATAGTTCCATTTCACAACAATTCAAACTAAAATATGTAGAATGTTTTTTAGAGATGATATTCCATTGCTAACTATATGCATATTTTTCATTTTCAAGGCCCACTTTGTAGGTACACTGATTGCCCTGGAGGAGTCTTCAGATTAAGTTTAAAATATAAAAAAAAGCATTTAAATCGCAACAAATCTCGATGTAATAATTTTTTGTTTCTACAGATAAGCAAAAACAAAAGAGATTAGTAGCTCATTTCATGTGAGTATGCTTAAAAGTTGAGTAACACTCTGGGCAACTTTGGGCTGACTCAGCATGTAACAGAGGCCACACATAATAGAGGACACACTCTTGACCTACTGATCTCCAAAGGCCTGAGCATTTCAAAGGTTACTGTGTCTGATGTGGGCCTGTCTGATCATTACTGTGTTTTCTTTGAAAGTAAAATCTCAGCCCACACAAATATATCAACAACAGTGATCACAAAACGGTGTATAACTGAACACAGTAGTGCAATCTTTAACCAGGTCTTCCCATTAACACCTGACCTGTCCAGAGGGTCAGTCAATGAGCTCGTCAATAGCTTCAATGCTAACATGTTAAATGTAATGGACACTATTGCTCCCATTAAGGTGAAGGTTATCTCTGGAAGGAAAAAGTCTCCATGGAGAAACTCCACACTGGTGAAAAATGAAAAAAGAGAGTGTAGGAAAGCTGAGCGCAGATGGAGAAAAACAAACCTCCAGGTTCATTATGACATTTATAAAGAGAAACTTCACAATTATAATTTACAACTGAGGAATGCAAGGAGGTCCTACTTCTCTGACATCATCACTAAAAACAGCCATAATGCTCGGGTCTTATTTTCTACAGTTGACAGGCTAACAAACCCTCCTGTGTCAGTGGCAGCTGAACTTCATTCGACCATGGCCTGCAATGACTTTGCCAAATTCTTCACAGAAAAAATCCAAAAAATTAGACAAGCAATTGGTACATCAACAGCAGATCCAGGATATGTACTGTGTCCACCAAAAAACTGTTTAAACACCATGAAACAGTTTCACACCTATTAACAGCAAAGACCTGGAGGACATCTTAGGTCAACTGAACTCCTCCTCCTGCTGTTTAGATGTCCTGCCAACAAGTTTTTTCAAAAAGGTCTCAAAGACTTTAGAGTCAGACCTGTTACAGATCGTCAACTTTTCTTTATTATCAGGTGTGTTTCCAGAATCACTAAAAACTGCTGTAATCAAACCTATACTGAAAAAGGACAATCTTGACAAGACACAAATGAACAACTACAGGCCGATCTCAAATCTCCCGTTTTTAAGTAAGATCATTGAAAAAGCAGTTTCTCAACAGCTCAGTTACTTCTTAAAACAGAATAACTGCTACGATGCCTTCCAGTCAGGTTTTAGACAGAACCACAGCACTGAAACCGCTCTGACCAAAGTGTTCAATGACATATGTCTGAATACAGACAGTGGAAAAATGTCAGTCTTAGTTTTACTGGATCTCAGTGCAGCATTTGATACAGTTGACCACAACATATTACTCAAACGACTGGAGAACTGGGCAGGTCTTTCAGGAACTGTACTAAACTGGTTCAAAACATACTTAGAAAACAGGAAATACTTTGTATCAATAGGTAACTTCACATCTGAGCAGACAAGTATCACATGTGGAGTTCCCCAAGGTTCCATCTTGGGACCCCTTCTGTTTAACATTACATGCTCCCACTGGCACAGATTATAAAGAACAACAAAATAAACTATCACAGCTATGCAGATGACACACAAATATATATCACAATGTCACCAGGAGACCGAGGCCCTGTACAGGCTCTTGGTAAATGCATTGAGGAAATAATGACTGGTTGTGCCACAATTTTCTCCAGCTAAACAAAAACAAAACTGAGGTAATAGTCTTTGGCGCCAAAGAAAAACGATTACAGGTCACCAGAGAACTTCAATCTATACATCCTAAAAACCACAAACCAGGCGAGAAATTTGGGTGTAGTGATGGATGCAGACCTAAACTTAGAAAAACACATTAAGACAATAACAAAGTCAGCTTACTATCACCTCAAGAATATATCAAGGATAAAAGATCTGATGTCTCAACAGGACCTGGAAAAACTAGTCCATGCATTCATCTTTAGTAGGCTTGATTACTGTAACAGCATCTTTACAGGTCTACCTAAAAAATCAGTCAGACAACTACAGCTCATTCAGAACTCTGCTGCTCGAGTCCTCACTAAGACCAAAAAAGTGGACCACATCAGTCCAGCTCTGAGGTCTTTACACTGGCTGCCTGTCCGTCAGAGGATAGACTTTAAAGTTCTGATGCTGGCTATAAAGCTCTGAATGGTTTAGGACCAAAATACATCAGTGACCTCCTGACCCAGTATGAACCTTCCAGATCCCTCAGGTCATCTGGATCCGGTCTTTTATCAGTTCCCAGAGTCAGAACCAGACACGGAGAAGCTGCATTCAGCTTTTATGCTCCTTATATCTGGAACAAACTCCCAGAAAGCCTCAGATCAGCTGAAACACTCAGTTTATTTAAATCCAGGTTGAAGACTCACCTGTTCTCAGCTGCATTTGAATAAAGCACCAAATCCACACTTTTAAGCTTAAATTTCAAAACTTACATTTAACTACTGATTTTATCTACTGTTCTGATTTTATCTGTTTTGATTTTATATACTGTTGTTTGTTTGTTTGTTTGTTAATTAGTTAGTTAGTTTATTTGCTTGTTTTAATCAATTTTAAATCATGCTTTTTATTTGTTCTTGTTTCTAATGTCTCTGTAAAGCACTTTGAATCACCTTGTTGTTGAATTGTGCTATACAAATAAACTTGCCTTGCCTTGCCTTGGCTATTATATATATTTTAAACATAACCTGAATCTGAAGCAGAGGGTTTAAGAAGTGGAGCTGTGTTCATGTGTACAGGTCATCTAAAGTGCTAACCAGGAAATTAGTAGTAATAGACAGTCAGACTAATGTTCGTCAGGTTCCAGGATGAATGGAGAAACTCTTTGGATAGCAAAACTTTGGAAATCCCAGTAACCACTATATTGGCAAATTAAAGAGCTGATCCAGGAAGTGACGTCCATTCTTGCTTTTATGTTTGAGCAGTTATCTATGGAGGGGTTTAGTATTGCAAAGTAAATTGTCACGCCAGATCTCTGATGGCCTGACAAGTCAGTTTGACTATAAGACAGAAAAACCCAGAGAGATTTCTTTGAACATACAAAGTGCTCCCTACTTTGCCTGTGCAGCACGTCCTTATTGGACATTATATGTGCAAAAAGGGGGGGAAAAAAGCCAGACCTCTCTAAACCACAGGCCAGTAAAACAGAGTCAGCTGTGCCTCAGTACCCAGATCACTTCAAGAGGCAGATCTCTAAATCATGTCGTACTGCAGTCTTTTCCCCAGGTTCCCATTTTGTAGATCACCTATCGACCGTAGCCTGTAATGAGAAAGAAAGAAAGATTTATGAGTTAGATTAGGGTTTTTTTTGTTTTTTTTTGCTAACTTTAAGCTGCAGTTGGTTGCACAGGAACACATTATACAGGCATCTGAAGTTAATGAGAAGCAGCCATGTAACATCCTTGAAGCAGCCTCAGCATGTTTGCGGTCGTTGCTCCTTGGACTGCTTAATAACGAGGGAGCTTCTGTGTGCCCAGTGGGGGTTTTGTGTGCACACGTGTAAATGTCATCTCCTAATTCTCACTGCAGGACCGTCTCTTTTTTGTGATGGAATTTGTGAACGGCGGCGATCTCATGTTCCACATCCAGAAGTCCAGGAAGTTCGAAGAAGGCAGAGCCCGTTTCTACACAGCCGAGATCACCTCTGCGCTCATGTTCCTGCACAGCAAAGGCATCATTTACAGGTATAAATACATAAAGCAATCGAACTAGCCTTTATAGCGAGCTCAGAGCTCACTACCATAGTTTATTATATTTAAAAAAAAAACTTTAATATCATAAAGAGTGTAATATTACTGCAAAGACACTAATTATGCAGTTTCTTCTCTTGGATGTCGGAATCAATTTATTATCAAGAGGAAACTGCATATATGATACATTAATCATGTGAAGTACTACATGGCTGTGAACACTAAATCAGAACATTGCAATCCTGAGACTCATACGTCACGTTAAAGAAGACTGCCGCTGAGAACCATCCAATGAAAATGTGCTACCAAGCATACTTGCAGGTTTAATGAGAGTTTGCTTAATTCATGCATTAAGCGGAGGGTGTGGAGGTTCTCTCCCAGGAAGCACTCCATTTCCTGCACTCTGATTCATCTTTATGCACCACTTTTGCCTTTTCGCCATCAATTTGTGTTAAAAATGTCTTTATTTATAAAAAGAAAAATCCAAATTTCAAGTTACAAATGATAAAATCATATCAAGGAGGATAATGCTGCTAAATCTTGTTGTGTCAGCGCGCACACACGCAAGCAGACACAAACACACACTGTACTACAAACTAAGTTCAACACATCTAGTGTGTCTTTGCATTAGCTGACTCAACAAAGCTTAAAACCGAAGCTGAAAGTAACGGATGATGACAGTAATTATCATCTTTCTCTGTTAAGTCAGGCTTTCTGCTTCAGGCTCTAAATATAAAATATATATTTTCCAGCAGCAGATTGATTATCAAGTAAAACATTTACACATTTTCTGCATCACCTACTTAACAATTATATGCTTCATTCAGCAGTTTTAGTAGGATACAGATTAACGACGTGCACAAATGAAGCGTATTCCTCAAGCTGAGAATCTATAATGAACTTAAAACATGCTGTAAATAAAAGAATAAATGAAAACTTGCCACTTTTCACTGTTATGGTTTCAGCATAAACTACCACGGTTATTTAGGCAGGCAAAAAGAGAGGCAGGCAACACTGTAAATCCAGTCTGGGGCCTTCCTGCGTGGAGTTGGCATGTTCTCCTCGTGTCTGTGTGGGTTCTTTCCAAGTACTCCAACTTTCTCTCAAAGACATGCGCAGGATTACGGTGATTCTAAAATGACTGTAGGTGTGAATGCGAGTGTGAATGGTTATGTGTTTCTCTATGTTAGCCCTGTGGTAGATTAGCGACGTGATCAGAGTGTATCCAACACCTCTTTCCCCATGACAATCAGGATAGACTCCAATACTCCCTGCAACCTTGAATTTGATAAGGATTAATGACACAGAAGACTGACAATAATGTTGCTACGCATAAACGCATATTTGTGTTTATGCGTGTATCTCATCCTGAGCTGTGATAATGTTGTTACATTTTAGATTCCTGAGAATTCTCATCTCTACAGAAACACACTGTGTCCACACAGGTCAGGCTCTGTGACAGAACGCCAGCTTTTACCAAGAATTATGAATAAATGAGCCAATAACGATCCCCCTTCCTCAGCTTCTAATAGCTACATATATTCAAAGACCTTTTTTTCGGACTGTCCGCTCAAGGAAAGTTGAGTGGGAAATCTTTTGGTGTCCTGCCAGTACACAATGAAAAAGGAAAAGGAACATCAGTAAATCCTGAGTTATACTTAGTAGTATGTCTGAGTCTCCTTTCAGCATGCACTGCATAGCATGACAGCAAGCTGAAGAGGTTGCATGCACCTTGCGTGCTATAACTAAATAAGTAAAAAGCATCCAGAATAGTAACTCTGACATCAGGCAAGTGTGGGAAGAATAAAATTGTAGCCTCGGTCCTTGTGTGTCTTTTACACTGTGTGTGTGGGGGTTTTTGGCTTCAGGTAAAGGCTTTGAGGCTTTGAAGCTTCTCAGTTGACGCCACAGCGTGTCCTTGCGTTTCCTGTATTTGTCCTTAAAAAGACATGTACAGTTCTCGAGGTTTCAGTTTGAGGGTTTAGACATGAAAACTCAGTTTTGCAGTCTGAATCCACACTGGCTGCTTTTAAGAGTGAGAGCACGTTTCATGAGGAGAGTCAATTAAATCCACAAGGATTAAAAAGGCTGTATGGCGAACAGCTGCTCAGTGTCGTGCAATAAACACATGCTTTGTGAAGCCTGTTTTGAACTCCGCCAGGGAGGTGTTGTGTGTCTCTTTGTTTTGTCCTGACCCACATATGCAAAGAACAAGTAAATTCAAGACTGAACAAAATAGATAAAAAAATACTCAATTTTTTTTTTGGCTTATGCAAGTTGTGATATATATCGCATCCTTAGGTTGATGCATAACATTTTAGGAGCCTTTGATAGTTTGATTAGACTCTTACCACAATGAAAAAAACAAAGTTTGTGCGTCAGAACTTTTTCTGAACTTCCTCCTCTTTTCTTTGGAATCTCTTTTATTAGTGCAACTCTATCTCCTACTCAGTGACTCATTTTGCACCGCAGCATTTTTTTTCTGCAGACATCGCATTGTTTGATTGACCTGTTTCCATCATCAGTCGTTTTCGCCCGTGCACTGCAGCACTTCCATTTTCTCTGCTTTAGCAGGTGGAAAATGCAGGTAAACATTACATTAAATTAAATCAAAGAGGGTACTGGCAGTAGTGACAACATTTTCTCTCCTGACATCGGCCAGAGTTCATGTGTGAAACTGGCTCAAGTCAGGCTTGTCTCTCCCATGTGGTGAAGTCGTTGGATGAAGGAGCTCATACAGGATGATTAGGTGCAGTGAGTGATGTGTGGTTCTGTGTAGCTCAGTGATAAGAGGCGGTTAAATTTCCCACTGGACACATTCATACTGAAAAAAAAAAACCAATAATGGTCCAGGAAATGGTTTGGCAGTGTGCGAACGATTATCAAGAAGCAGAACTGGCCATATAACTGGAAGAGCTCAGACACCTACTTAAAAATACTTTCTCCTGCGTCCAGTTTCCCAGTTTTGTTTTCCTAGCTGTGATTATCCCTAACACAGCTTAACACAGTCTGTGTGTACTTTGTGATGTGTGAGTGTCAGAGCTGCTCTCTTTGCCATGTTTTAGACTGTGTGTGATCAGCGTTACACAATCGGCTTAAGATAGAGAACGGCAGACTCGATTAATCGAACCAAACTGGTTCCTGACCCTCAGTCTTTTACAGTCAGGCTTTCTGTATTTTGGTTTTTCTCATCCTGTTATGTATACATTAACAGTATCACTGTCCAGCTAGGATCAGGCCATCTATGTAACACTGTCTGAAGTTGAGTCACCTGATCACAGATTGGAGCTTAACTCCAGAGCCCACACTCGACAGCTGTAATCGCTCTGTCAGCTGACGTGAACACAGGACAGGAGATTTTTCCAGTGTTTGGTTTGGAGACATCCCCATGCACAGTCAGCAGAGGGGAAAATATCCCCGTGGAAGGCATACTGTGAAGACGGTGCATATTAGCAGTGAGTGGCAGAAAAAACAAAATGCATCTTTCTATCAAGTGGTCACAACTTACGTATTTTGCTTTAAGCTAAGCCTGCTTCACAAAGGCAGAGCAATAAAATGGAATAACTGGGAGAAGAAGTTTTGCTTTTCTTGGGAGCAGAATAAACACAGACACTTTTTCCCTTGGTGTCAAATATGCAAGGGTTTGCTTTCATCCGTGTGAAGTGCATTTCATCATCAGTGGGTGCACAAATGGCACTGTGTGGTTCTCTGTGTACCATCCAGTTTGACTCCGTGCAGATGGTAAGCTGCGAGGGCACCGGTGTTTAACCCCAGCTCCAACGATTTTTCTTTTTTTACTGGTTGCCAGTTAAGGGTCAGGGAGTTGTCCGTCAGTGTCTCCCTCTGCTTTAAGTGTCACTGTCTTCAGAGAACTATTTCCTTTTGTCTCACCACAAATTTCTACCTTCCTCACATATAATTAGAAACAAGACCAGCAGGATGCGACTGGAGTCTGAGCACTGAATTGGATTTTTGGTGGCTTATTTCAGGCTTCTGATGTATAGGTGCTGAATAACAGTCCCTGAGCAAATACCTCATCTATTTGTTCCTTTTTGTGTTTGCCTTTCTTTTCAGGGATCTAAAGTTGGACAATGTTCTTCTTGACAAAGACGGTCACTGCAAATTGGCAGATTTTGGCATGTGCAAGGAGGGCATATTTGAAGGTGTTGCCACGGGAACGTTCTGCGGGACCCCGGATTATATTGCCCCTGAGGTCAGTTTCTCCCCCCTACATTAACCAGCAGAAAACATAGTCGGCACTCAAAATAACAGATACTTCAGCTCCAGATTTATAATAGAACATTTCATATATTGAAGCAATGTTTACACATTTCCATTTTTAAGATGACACTAAAGAATAAACTTGGCCATCTTTAGCTTCCAGCAGCTCAGGTTCTCTGAGTTCATATGTTTAATTTCCATCACACCACCTCACTAAGAGCAAACATTGTGGTCGCTGCCCGGCACTTCAAGCTCCCTCCCTCCTGACTGGAAGGCAGCACACCTGTGAGGTCAGCTTATTGACTTGACAAGCCCAGATTTCCACTTCTTCAGACTGCGCCTTCAGAGGCGTGTTTGGCTTTCATAATGAGGAATTAAGATGGCCTGCATCCTCGTGTTTGAGAGCTTTTTCTCTAACCAAGAATGTGCATCTGCGTTTATGAAAGACCCCTTTGCTGCCCTCAACACTTACTCCTCAGTGTGTAGCTCCGCTAATCCAGCACATACCCCTAACTAAACTTCATAAAGTGGTTTTAAATTTGCTGTTGAGACTCTCTAAAATCGCATACTCATGCTCAACTTCATTTTTCTTCTCTGACATGTTTTCACAGATCCTGCAAGAGATGCTGTATGGGCCTTCTGTGGATTGGTGGGCCCTCGGGGTGCTACTGTATGAGATGCTCTCTGGACATGCTCCTTTTGAGGCGGAAAATGAAGATGACCTCTTTGAATCCATCCTCAATGAAGAGATTGTTTATGCCTCTTGGCTCAGCACAGAGGCAGTCAATATACTGAAAGCTGTGAGTCTGCCAGGAGTAATATCTTTTATTCACATTTTTGCGGTCACCAGCAATAAAAATTTAATGATAAATGGAGCTGGGTGAAGGCCAGGTCTCACTCTTCTCAGACCAGCGCCGTCAGACTGTGTTTGCTTTATACAATTGCAGGAAATGTCAGAACGGCTTTTTTTTAAACTCATGTAATGATAGAGGAAATCAATTTGTCAGTGGATTTGTGACATCACTGTGGACAAAAACGGATGAGCATTTCCATGCCTGGATATTGTATCAGTAGCCAGATTCTTGTCTGTCTGCCTGACTGACACCGTCTGACTGCAGAGTGAGTGGCAACCCCACACAGTCTTTCAGCCAGCTGTTTGGCTGGGGTCTTTACATAACTATATTAAGGCATGGTTCACTGCCCAGCCACAGCACACAAGCTATAAATACAACTGCACCTCCTCTCCATTCCTTCTCTCTCACACTGTTCTCCTCGTGTCCTTGTTGTTATTCCCGCATGGCTGAGGAAGCACCAAATCAGTCTTCCCATGCCGATTTGTCATTGCCCCCCACTATCACACGTTACTGACTGGTGTGAGTGGATTTTAAACGCTGCTGCTCTATTTTTACTGGAGGCAGATCCATTACCAAGATCACCTTGTTCTTAAAAGGAAGTTCATGGAGCTCAGTTGTCAGGTTGTTCAAGGTCGTGTGAGAATGGCTGTAGAAATGTCACGAGTTTGTGAGTCATGGTGAAAATACCTGAAGGCTGGTAGATGCCAATGGTCAAGTTAAACTATCACATAGAGCTGAAACAAAGCGCTTTTGATCGCTTTGTCCAGCCCAGCATCAACAATCTAAAAAGAAATAAATCTAAAGTTGTTCAATTTATATTGTTGTATAACAGCAAACCTTTCATTTCAGGAGCTGGAAGTGTTGAATTGATTTTTCTGCCAGCCGACCGATTGATTGACTAAAAGTTTCAGCTCTAATATTCCCCGCCTTCCCGTAAACGTCTTTTTTGCGAGTGTAGAGGAGAACGGCTTCTTCATGCAGAAATGCCCACATGGCAGGTCTGGCTCTGAGAATGGCACAACTGACGTGCAGCCATGGAAAGATGGCATCAGCTTTAGTGGAAAAGTTTTTCTTTGGTTTTGTGGTCAGTTTGCTCCTGAACTGAGTCACCTCTGCTACTCTGTCGTGCTTACAGTTAACTCCAATTCAAGCACCATACTGGTGTCTACTGGTGTGCCTTTTTTCTTTTTTCAAACATGTTTTAATTCAGTAACTGGAAATAATGTCATCACAGCTGCAAATCCCTGAGTTTAACTGCTGTAACCTTAAACCTTTATTCATTAGCAGTGATGAGTATAAAAGGGACAAATGCAACATTTCAACAAAGCATGTTTTTGTCTTAAAGTACAGTCACAACCATGGGCTGATGCAGTTCAGTACATAGATGTACAAAGGAAAAGCAACGGGTGAAAAGGCTTACATGAACAATAACTGTGCATCTCCCAATCAGTCATGTTGGAGGCGTTATTGGCAGAGACACTGACTACAGCAGAGCGACACACATGCTGTTTATTATATAAAATTACGCATGGCAAGGCATCAGAGTTTCATTAGTCTCTATGAATCCTCGTTATTGTTCATTGTAGCTTGATGCTTTTGGGACACCTCGCGTCTTTTTGGGCATTGCCTCATCACCTCCGCAGCTGCTTCCTCATTCTCTTGGAGCTCAGTATTGTTGAGACATGCGGTTTTGTTTAGGCAAAGTCTCTGGTAGTTAATATCGTTTGGAGCTGACACAATGAGATGTATTAATCTCTGTATTAATCAGTGTCTTCAGGTTAATCTTAACACTGTCACAATGGAGACGGGGACTCATTAGTTTGCTATGCTGGGTCTGAAGGTCACCATTATCCCTGAGGTGCACACAGAGTCACCATGCGAGACGGTTTTCCAAAACAAAGTGGTGTTTTTTTTCTGTTTCCCCCCCAGGGGCAAGTTAAAACTATTTTAACTTTTATTTGTTTTTGTTTGGGCTTCTTCCTAAGACCTGCACCACCTACCCGACCTTGGTCAGAGAGAAACGGTTAAAGTTCAATGGCTGATTCACTATTGTTTTAATGAATACAACCCCAGGAAGTTGAGACACCTCAGCTGCACATTACTGAAACTAGTTGAACTCTGGCCAACTAAGGCTTTGTGGGAGGAGCTTAACACAATTCAGGGTGTGTGTTTTTTGTCAGTTGAGAGGGAAGGACTCACTAGATGAACTTGAGCCCTGTTTGGCATCCCTCCAGAGAAATCTAATCTGATCTGGTGTTACACATTTCCCTATTTTGCACCAACCACACAGTCATGGTAAACGGAAAGCAAACTCGCTTTATATTCTGAAGTTAACATAACAAAAATAATTTGGCATTTAGCAGCTCTTGCTAAGGTAAATGCATTCTCACATGATTTCCAAAACATGACATATTATACTGTGGTATTTATTTAACAGAACCTAAGCAAAAATCCCAAAACAGTGTGTGAAAAACTAGGTAGACCCTTATTGCTTCCATAGGAAATGAGAGGATAAGTAGCAGGCAGTTGCTGCTAAATCAACATTTGATTAATTCTTTTTTTGTCAGGAAGTATAAGCATAAGCTTTGGCGCTGAAGCATTCAGGTATGTGTCATCACATTGCCAAGGATGAAAGACAGCAGCAATGGTCTTAAAAAAGTTGTTGAAGTTGCTGTCCATCAATCTAGGGGAGGGTTACAAGGCCATTTATAAACAATCTGAAGTTCATTATTCTACAGAGAGAACGATTATTCACAAGAGGGAAACATTCAAGACCGCTGCCAATCTTCCCAGGAGTGGAAGTCGCAGCAAATTAAACCCAAGGTCAGATTATCCAGTGCTCATAGAAACTGGAAAAAAACCTCAAAAGCTACATCCCAACTCTACAGGCCTCAGTTGGTGTGTTAAATGTTAAAGTTCATCACGGTTCAATTAGAAGACGACTGAACAAGTATGGCTTGTTTTGAAGGGTTTCCAGGAGAAAGCCTGTTCTCTCTGAAAAGAACATGGCAGCGCAGCTTAGACTTGCAAAGTTGCATCTGAACAAACAGACTTCTGGAAAAATGTCCTTTAGACAGACGAAAGTGGAAATGTCTGGCCATAATGCACAGTGTCATATTTGGAGAAGACCAAACTCATAACAACCGTCAAACATGGTGGTGGAGGGGTGTTGATTTGGGCTTTTTTTGCAGCCACAGCACCTTGCAGGCCTTGAGTTCACGATGGACTCTTTATACCAAAGTATTCTAGAGTCAGATGTGAGGCCATCTGTCCGACAGCTAAAGCTTGGATGAAATTGGGTCTTTAATTCATCAATTGTTTTTAATTCATCCGCATTTTATCTTCGCAGCTCTTGACCAAAAACCCGGCACGGCGTCTGGGCTGTGTGCCCACAGAGGGTGGAGAGGAGGCTGTGACCAGCCACGCTTTCTTCACAGGTATCGACTGGGAGAAGCTAAATCGTAGAGAAATTGAGCCGCCTTTCAAGCCCAGGATTGTAAGTCACATGATTTTATTGATGCTATATGATAATAGGTGTACTCACCAGACATTACGCTGTGTATGATTTTGTCTCACATTCTGTGTGTGTGACTGTACTCTATTGTTGTCCTCCAGAAAACCCCGGAGGACGTCAACAACTTTGACCCAGATTTTACTCAGGAAGAGCCCACGCTCACGCCCATCGATGACCCTATGATCCCTTCCATCAACCAGGAGGAATTCAGAAACTTTTCCTTTACTTCACCTGAACTGCTAGAGAATTAAGACTCAGAGACTGATCCACTAGCAGTTGTGCGGTCACCCTTACTCTTCTCAGTGTCTGTGCATTTGCCTAAAACATTTTCCACTGGCATATAAAACACGGTGCGGACACATTTCCCAGAGATATAACTGTGCGAAAGTTCCAAGCGGCCAGCCAAAACATGCTTGACAAGGACCCGAGCTGCACTTGAACTGTAAGAACTTGTACCTCAGACCCAAATGTGGAGTGTGGCCAGCTTTTGAAATAACATTTAGTTTTGGCTTCATTTACACATTAATGCAAGTGTGTATGTACGTGTGGACAGGATGTATTTTATTATGTTGTATTGTGATGAAATTGCTTCTATTTGCTCAATTTTTGCTCTTTCGCTGCTCAGAGATGGGGGGGAAAAAATTGGGATCTAAATCTGCTGGAGATTCCCAGAAGAGTCAAAGTTACACAAATCCTGGAATGATTTCATGCACAGATGGGATAGTTTCTGAGTGATGCGTCTCCACTCTGGAAAAAACACAAATTCACACAGAAACTCAAAATAGTGAACCGCTGAGTCCATCCACTGTTAAATAAAGGGTTAAAATCACCTGAAGCCTGAAATATTGGTTTTGAAATGAGATAAAGGTTGAAATTGGGTTAAAGGATAGAATTTCACTGCACTGAATTCCCGATAATAGAGTATTTGTGTTTTTTTTTATTTGTGGCCCACACCCAGTAAGAAAAACTTGGCATCCGTCGCAGTGATTCTCCATGTAAATTGCTCCGCCAGGCATGTAGACGATGATGCAAGATTTCATCTGAGGTGAAAGCAGCTCGATGATTCATGGTAACTGTGAAATATTGAAAAGTCTGTAGATTTCACAACCCTGTTAGTGTATTGTCCAACTGTTGCCAGAGTGTTTGAAAGCTTCCAGCACTTTCTACAGACCTGCTTGGATAAGTGAATTCACGTTTTTGTTGTTTGTTGTTTGTTTATTCTTATCCATAAAAAATATAAGAAAAACACGTAAGTCTTGAAACCCTGCAGTTCTGTGCTGTGCGTCTAGTGGAGGGCCAGCAAACCAGCAGAGAATAAACAGGAAACCACACAGCGTCACTACTGTCGCCTTTGCTAGAAAAAGGAAGACACGAGAGAGGAAAAAGTGATGCTTTTTTTCAGGGGGGTGACATTGAATTCATATATAAATGCAGTATTGTATACTGCATGATGTTGGAAATAAAAGCAAAAACTTTGAAAACACAATGACAAAAAAGAAAAGAAAACCCTGTGTTGAGATGAATCTCTTTCCTCCGGAACTTGCACAGACACGAACGAGCCCAGCCCTCCAGGACGGAGTCTTCCTGTTAGTTTGAATGAGGAAGTTTGGGTCTCAACATCTGTTTATCTCTTCAGCTGGGTGTCCTGTGGAAGATTCTGTCTCTAAATACTGCACATTAGCACCTTAATACTCGGAAATGCCTCAAAACGAAGCCTCCTCTGCTTTCTGAGCACAGAACAAACCTTTTGAGCTAAGGAACCTGCTTGAACCTGCTATGTTGGTGTGGTTTTCAGTCCGGTTCTCCCCTCTGAGTGAAGCAACACCATGAAATGAAAACAAGTTTTTATGAGTGATTACCTCTACCCTTTGACGAAACATGTCAGAGCAGTTGTCCATGATGAAAAAGGCTCCATCCGTGTGGCATGATGAGGGACTGGAAGCTTACATGAGTATGGCCTCCATAGCAACCCATCTCAACCCAAAGAAATGGCTATGGTGACGATTCTCCACCACCATCATTAAAAAATCAAATGCAGAAAGATCTTTTGTTAAAATGATGGTGTTTTAGCTACTAAACTGCACTGAAAACTTTCCTGGTCCAGCACAACTTGCTGCCTGTCTATACATTTGAGCCAGTGGTGTGTCACAAATTTCTTCCCGTTGCGGTTCAAACCCCTGTTAAGCCTCTGATCACTCATTATTTAGAAGAGCCTTGATGTGGACTTTACAGCAGCCCACTAATCTACATTAAGCTTTCCCTAACAATGACGGTCGACATGTGCTATATAAAGCATAGGACACTGGATTAAGCAACTTTGCTTATTGTTTATCCTTTGTTGTGCCTCAGTTTGGCAGCTTTCCCCAGGTTGTGTCTCAGTGAAGGAGAGATTTATGAGCTTTCCTTCAGCATTCATTACTGAGACTTCCTGATAGCTGCCAGCAGTGTCTCTGCAATGACTGATTGAATAAGCGTTTGACCCTGCTGTCCTATGCATTTGATTGGTAACCCCCAAAGTAGCGATCGATAATGGAAAAAAAGTCTCTCTGCACAGACGTCACATAAGTAATTCCCTATAGAAATCTATAAATCAATAGCTTCATTTTTGTCAGTAAATGAATAGATAATGGCCTCATATTCACTCTGACCTATAGTTAATATAAGATCATGACTCATAAACTCTTAGAATTTACGTAAAGTGATTCAGACAAAGAAAACTGCTTCCTATCAGATGGTGTCTTTTATAACAATGACAATGCAATCTTCCTTTTGCATTTCAACACTTCTCTTTCAGAGCTGTGTTAATGCTGTTACAGAGCAGGATTTCCTTAATGCATTCTTATATAAATGTCTTCATTTTGTTGCTCGCACTAAACGCATTACGAAAGGCTAATCTTGCATTGTTTGTTGGCACGTTTTATACTCAAGTGTACAACAAAAAAGGTGTGGCTAACACCACCTCTCAACTTCCCGATATCATAATGTTATATTACAGTGTGGAGATAAGTAAACAGGATCTCCAACAGCTAAGTGAATTTTAAAGTGAAAGGTCATTGTTGACTTTCATGTTGAATAGTAGCATAATGAGGCAAAAATAAACCTATAAGCTCAGTTAGTGTTGCCAAAGCACATATTGCACAGCTATGTTATAAAAAATAAATAAAAAATCCATCAGATTTACATTTAAAGGACGCAATAGGCTTATAAAAAAAACCCCACACACAATTAATCCTATGTAGACATGCATGGTTTACTTTAAACTAATTTCCTCAGGTCTCTCTAGTTTCTAGGTCTAGTAATAAAGGATTTTATCAGGATTTAACTTCAATTTCTACACTTTTCTCTCTTTTTTTGCCTTGTGTAATGAATAAAAATGTAAGCCTCCCAGGTTTGTTCGATGAAATCAATATGAACCGTCAAGATAAAGTTCAATTCAGGGGCGTTGTGCCACACACCCTTTATCTAACGGGAAGTCACTGCAAAGGCTTTGTCTAACTATCGTGACCAGATGCAACAATCAATATGTGTTCACCTAGTAGCATTGTAAGGCAACACAAAGAATAAACTAACCTGCGACTAACTTTTTCTGTGATTTAGAACAGAATCGTTAGTCTACAAGTTCATGAATGTATGCATACTTTATTGATCCCCTTGGGGAAATTCCTCTCTGCATTTAACCCATTCAATCAGTGAAGCAGTGGGCAGCCATTGGGCGCAGTGTGTAGGGACAGTGCCTTGCTCAGGGGTACCGCAGGGTAGCCGTTCGGTGGGTTTGAACCGCCGACCTTCCGATCATGGGGCCAACACTCTACCTACTGAGCTATCCCTGCCGCCCCAAAGTAAACATAAGTTTAGTTTAGTTCGTTTTTGGTGTAATTTAAGTTACTTTCAGAGGTGATTTTCTGGTTTCAGTTGAGTTTTAAAAATATCTACTATTTCCATCCATCCATTCGCTTATCCTTTCCAGGGTCGCTGGAGCCTATCCCAGCTGTCATGGGGCCAGAGGCAGGGTACACCCTGGACAGGTCGCCAGTCTAACACATAGAGACACAGACCTATGGGCAATTTAGATTAACCAATTAACCTATCCCCATGCAAACACGTGGAGAACATGCAAACTCCACACAGAAAGACCTGATGGTGGAATTGAACTCAGGACCTTCTTGCTGTGCGGCAACAGTGCTAACCACCGTGCCACCGTGCTGCCCTACCATTTTCATTATATGTGTTTTATTATTATTTATTATAATATGGATAGTATTTGTTAAACACAATCTTAGGAGTGAACCGTTGGTTTAGAGGACTGTTCAAAAAGATGGATGCAGACACTCACTGTTATGGATCTCTCCTGACCTTCTCCATACAAACTAATGATAATTTGAACCCAAAATTTTAATCTTCGATTCAACATTACATACAACCTGTTACAAGTGATGTAATTTGGCACATCTCAGCGTTTTCTCCCTATTTCTCTTCCTTAACAATGGCTTCTTGATAGCTACCCTTCCACTGAAACTGATGAGGCTTCAGTGAACATTATGTGACTCAACTGAGGAGTCAGATAATCCTCTGTAGGTCCTGTGTCAGGTCTTTGCAGAATTTTTCCTATTTCTTAAGGACATGGCTTTCAGATATTGTTGCTATGATATACCAAGTTTTCAGCAAATAGTTCTTTGGAAATCATCGCTTTGGTGCCCATCAAACTGTGTTATCTTTGGCATTTTTAACAGATGAATCTTTAAAAATAACTAAAAAAAAACATGTTTTTCTTACAGGCTGATAGTAACAAAACAATATAAAATTTTGAAATTTGAAAACAATTTGAAAATTGTCAGGTATAACAATTGGATTGTCAGTGAGTAGAAAAAAGCAGCCAATGTCCAAGGAAAACCTTGGAAAGACCTTCACAAAGCCTGGAGAGCTATTGCTCAAGACCACATTAAAATTTACAAGAAAGTCGGTCTCCTTGGAAACAAAATATAAAGACATGAGGCTTTTACACTATACTAAAAGGATTATAACACATTGTGGAGGTAACTAACATGCCATAAAGTAAAAAATACAGACTTAGTAAATATATTTGTATTTTATTGGTACATACAGTGTTGTAGCAATGTGAAAAGGCTAAAGTGAAAGACGTTTGGTGTCCATTATTATGTTGTCATAATTAGCTCTTCTAAGTACATAATATTACTTTAGTTATTTTTCAGTCCAGTTATTTACAGTTAACCAAAACGTTTTTTCATACATAGCTTCCTCCTTTTTGCTTTTCTTTTACTATTATTTTTCATTTCCAAAGTAAAACTGAATCACAGATTTCATTGTAAAATGAATTCCACAGGGTGAAGGAGGAGGTGAAGGAAGTCTGATTGGACAGAAATATCCAGAGCAGTGGAGGAAATTTACCAAGCCCGCCTCCAGGACCAAAGAAATCCTCATCTGCCCTTGAACTTTTTAACTTCTGAAGTCTAATAACATTTCAGAATTTTTCCTGGCTCAGACTCAAGGGGCGACACAACAGTAAACTTACCATCAACGCACAATAAAGCAGTGATTCTGATCTTTTTGTTTGTTTGAACAAAGAAACTCGAATATTATAAAACAAACAAACAAAATGTTACAACACTGAGGAG